AGTTGTTGTTTTAACCCAATGTTGGGTCAAATATGGACAAACCCCCAGCTGATGGGTTAAAATTTGAATTTTAAAGAGATAGTTCACCCAAAACAACATTGAAACAAGTGAACACTGCAAAAATACAACAATTTTAGAATTTTTATCAGGTTTCTAGTCTAAATATACAAAAAATCATTAATTGTGAAGCAAGACTTTTCTAAACATGTAAGATATATATCACAGGTGTCGAATCTAGTTCCAGGAGGGCCGCAGCTAAGCACAGCTAATTCCAACGCTAATTAAACACACCTGATCAAACTAATTGAGTCCTTTAGGATTGTTTGAAACTTACAGGTAAAGCTGCGGTCACACTGGGTTTTTCCTCCCGTAGACTTCCATTCATACACACGCAAATGCGTTAGACCGGAAACTCAGATCCATGCGTCAAGTTTCGCAGATTGCTGTGGTGCAAAGTTCAAGCTTGGTGATCTCTGACCTGCGAAATCACATCACTTGACTGCGTGAGAGCACTCGAGGATCAAAACACGACCTCTCTGGAGAGAATTTTAAAACATGGAGCCATCACTCGCTTTTTTAAATGTTTAATAATTTTGTTTAATCCCGCCCCTTTTCATAGCGCCGCACGACAGAATATCACATGCTCAAACTCTAATGTGACCGCAGCTTTAGTGTGTTGAAGCAGGGTTGGAACTAAACTGCAGAGCTGCAGCCCTCCAGGAACTGGATTTGACACCTGTGATATACATTGTTCTCAGAAATAATCTTCTGTTATATAGTCAAAATGAATGAGTTTTTCTTTAAAACAAGGTAAATAACTAAACAAGGTTTGCCATTGGGGTAAGCAAAGTAAAGTGGGGTAAGTCAGTCGTGCTGCTCCAACGCAACATTTCTGAAATCAAAACTATTTTTTACTTGTCTAGAAAATGTCCAACCCAGGCTCATTCTGAAATTGTAGCCCTGTATACACCTCTGGAGAGCGCTAAATATGTCCCAGGAGCTACGCTTTTTGCAGTTTTTGTTTTTGCGAATCCACCAGAGGCCACTGTGTATGCATTTTCAGCTCTTAGATTTCTTTCGTGAGTGCCATTCGCGCCTGCTGTTCTTGCGTAAATCCACCAGAGGCCGCTGTGGATGATTTTTTAGAGCTCAAATTTCTCTTGTGAGTGACATTCGTGCCCTGCTCCTTTCCTAAACCCAACCAATAGTGTTTTCAAAAGCAATCCAGAAAAAGAATAGCCCATGTGGCAGCCAGATTTTCACCACGTTTCCAGATTTTACCACATTCTTACCGTTATTTACTTGTTTAATTTATTTTTTGGGTTTAACCCTTTCTGGAACCGTTCTTCATCGTATTCAAACCTCATCATCAGTCAACGCTGCTCTACGTCTGAAATCGTCCAAAGTACGTGGCGAGGCACTGGACAAACTGGTAACAGCGTGAAAGTCGTCTACACGGAGGTAAGCGAGAAAAAGAACAGCGTAATACCCGTTTTAAAGACAAAGTGCAGCCATACGTACCTCTGGCTACATAATTTCACGATCTCCAGAAATGTATATAGAGGTACGTTTTCAGAATGAGCCTATGTTAAAATGTCTCTTGGTTTAAGAATTTTTACAAATTTGGACTAAAACTCCAAGTAAATTAAAAACGGCAGAATTTTCAGGTTTTGAATAAACTACGCTTGAATTAAACTGAATTAACTCAGCATTAGGTTTGTCCAAAATTTGACCCACACTTAAAGGTTAAAACAACTTAAACAACTACTTGTTGAACTTTCATCACATAAAAGCCAACACAATCTCACGCCAATTCGTAACTTTTATATTTAGTGGCTAATTTGCGATCTCATTTGTACACATTAGTCTGATTTGTTCTTCCCACAAATCAGGCCACGCTTTCTTTTAAAACTCACATTTTCATGTGAAGAAAATTACACAAATTTGTAAAAATTTGCCACTTTTTTGAAAAAAAAGTTACGTTTTCTGGTGAGATCGTCCTGGTAAAATCATATCGAGGTGAACAGACTACAAAGGTGTTTTGGTGGTGATCAACATAAAGAATCAGATTTCCCACATGGTGATTGTCGTAACTGCGTCGATTGTAGCCCCGAGCGCAGCATGCGAGTATACAGTACAGACAGAATCACCAGCGCGTCTCCTTTGGTGAGTTGATTTGTGCTTCACTTGTTTCACTCTTGGCATCTTAGTCTTTCCTTCAGTCACTGATGATCCTTTAATCTCCATCGGAAGCCACTTTATGTGACCCCCGCTCTGTGGGGTCGCGACCTTTAGGGTCACATGTTCCTCGAGGCCAAACGCACCCATTTCCTCCTCTGGGAAGACTGTGATGAGCAGAGTACAAAACCAATGCAGGCAAGGCGATTTATTTATAGAAATAACAGACGTATTTACTCATATAAATATAGTGCATTTATATAAATAAATACATTTAATTAAATATAAATGTGTTACTTACATGTGCTTAAATTTACTATATGTGTAATGCATTTGTAAAAAATTATATATACATTTATGCATTTACTTGTATAAACACTTGTATACTCATAAATACATTATATATATATATATATATATATATATATATATATATATATATATATATATATATATAGTTGAAGTCATGAATTATTAGCCCATCTGTTTATTTTTTCCCCAATTTCTGTTTAACAGAGAGCAGATTTCTTTAGCACATTTCTAATCATAATAGTGTTAATAACTCATCTCTAATAACTGATTTATTTTCTCTTTGCCATGATGACAGTAAATAATATTAGACTAGATATTCTTCAAGACACTTCTATACAGCTTAAAGTGACATTTAAAGGCTTCACTAGGGTAATTAGGTTAACTAGGCAGGTTAGGGTAATTAGGCAAGTTATTGTATAACGATGGTTTGTTCTGTAAACTATCAAAAAACAAAGTAGCTTAAAGGGGCTAATAATATTGACCTTAAAAGGGCTTTTAAAAAATTAAAAACTGCTTTTAATCTAGCCGAAATAAAACAAATCAGACTTTCTCCAGACGAATAAATATTATTAGACATACTTTGAACATTTCCTAAATCTGTTCAACATCATTTGGGAAAAAAAAGAAGAAAATTCAAAGTGGGGCGAATAATTCTTACTTCATTACTTCAC